GCAGGGGAGCCGGTCCCTGCCTGTGGCTGGGGAGTTTGCAGGTTTCTTGCTCTTCGTGGGGAGTGGTCTCTGGTAGAGCTTTATGCAGAGGCTTCAGGGTTTGATTGCGTGGCTGTGACAGAGGCTGGGGGGGCTCCGGAGGGCTGTGGGTTATATAAACAATAAAAGTGTAGAGAACAGCTGGTGTGTGTAGGAAGCTGAGTGGTGAGCTGTCTGAGGTTTCTTGACTAGAGATGCCACAGGTGTGTGAAAGGGCTGAAACACAGGGATAGTGAGCGTGTGGCTGTAGATGAGTGGCTGAATATTGGAGCTGGGGAAGTTTGCTCTCTGCAGGTGATTGGTGGAGGTCAGGGTAGAGCACTTTTGGCCAGTGGTAGGTGTGGGGAGTTGCAGGTTAGGGTGTATTTTTGTTTCTGTTAATAGGGTTTTAATTGTAGGAGGCGGATTAAGATGAATCTGAGTCTCTGGTAGGGGGGGACAGTCAGTCCTTGACAAGTCAGTGTGATCTGTTTGGGGATAGGAGAATTCAGTAGCTGTGACTGAGGGTAAGATTGAACTCCTTAAGGCAAGGTAGGGTCTCTGGTCATGAAAACTTAGTGGGACATGTCCTGGTGTACGGTATGTGAGGAGAGGGGAGGGGGGAGCCAGGGCTGTGAAATGTGGCAGCAGTGGAAGAAATGTTATGTTTGTGGACACAGTATCTGAAAGGCAGTAGGTAAAGTCTAACCAACATAATTTTTGTTATTGCAGGAGGAGAGTTAAAAAGCAGAGACTGAACCTGCACGAAGATTTTTTTTCCAAGAGGGTGACAAGGTACAAGTGCTTCTGTTTCAACCTTACAGAGAAGGGGATTTTTTCCCTGTCACTGTTTGTAGTGCTCATCCTACTGGTGTCCTCTAAGACTTAATGTTGGCCCAGTGTTTTCTAAAGCCTTTTGAGTGATATGATCTGTACTGTCTTGGACATCTTGTTATCCTACTGAATTTGTGTGTTAAAGCCCCTTAGCTGAGGTGATTGTGTGGGTGTGTATTTGCCGGGAGTTTTTTTTTAATGGTGCTCTTCAGTATTCAGGAATAACGCAGAGAAGGCAGGGATCTGTCTGATTTGGCCACCATGTCTGGAATTGGGAATAAACGAGCAGCTGGAGAGCCTGGCCCTTCTGCACCTCCAGAGAAGAAGGCAGGGGTTGAAGACTCGGGGACCACCGTGGAGACCATTAAGCTTGGTGGCGTTTCTTCAACGGTACGTCTTGCTCACCACCCCTAAACCCCTGGCTCTTTTAAATCTGGAAACCTAAACACCTCTCTGTGCCTTCTCTATGAGCCCAGTCACTTGGCTGGTGTGGCATGTGTGCCCTGACTTGTGCTCCTGCACAGGAGGAGCTGGACATCCGGACCCTGCAGACCAAGAACCGGAAGCTGGCGGAGATGCTGGACCAGCGCCAGGCCATCGAGGACGAGCTGAGGGAGCACATCGAGAAGCTGGAGCGCCGGCAGGCCACGGATGATGCCTCCCTGCTGATCATCAACAGATACTGGAATCAGGTTGGTCACCTTCTGCTTCTCTGCTCCCTTCTCCTGTTTCACTGCGCTCCTTTTCGCCACGTGATCCGCTCTTTGTTTTGTCTTCATGCAGTTTGATGAAAATATCCGCATCATCCTGAAGCGCTTCGATCTGGACCAAGGTGTTGGAGACCTTCTGTCTGAAAGAAAAGCACTGGTGGTACCAGAACCTGAACCAGACTCAGACAGTAACCAGGAGCGCAAAGATGAGAGGGAACGAGGTGAGGCACCTGGCTGGGGAGAGTGGAAAAGATAGATTTCAGCTGAGGACAATGTTGATGTCCTTTCCTAAAGGGTGATGGAGGCTCTCTAATTGTGAAGACTTGCAGTATTGTTGCCTGCCAGAGCATGTTTAAGTTTTTATACTTTGTGTCCTCAGGTGAGGGGCCGGAGCCAGCATTCTCCTTCCTAGCCACTCTAGCCAGCAGCACTAGTGAGGAGATAGAATCTCAGCTACAGGAGCGTGTGGAGTCCTCCCGCCGGGCTGTTGCCCAGATTGTGACAATGTATGACAAGCTGCAGGAGAAAGTGGATATGCTGTCCCACAAGCTGAACAGTGGAGGTATGACTAAGGTGGCTGATCCCTGGCTAACCCTCAGGAATCCTTATCTACCCTCCAGAGCCTGGATTGTAACCATGTTCAGTGATAGCTGAGAACTCTCCACAGTGTGTTGGGCTAAGGAGAGGCTTGTTTTTGCCTGCAGTTTGTTTGTGGGCCTGAGAAGTTAAAAGATTACAGTTGAACCTTATCAATCAACTGTCCTCCACCACTGCATGGAAGGCTTCATGCTTACTAGTGAAGAAGGGAAGTCAGCATTGCAAACTGATGTTGGACTCTTTCTTGCTTGCAGTCTAGTAAAGTTACAGGAATAACCAACTCTTCAGTTTCCACTGAGTTTTGAGCAAAATGGTAGCCATCATGTGTGGTATGCCTAGTGTAGCTTTCAGTTTTGAGCATAAAGAAGAATTGTGCAGAAGAAAGCCAGACTAGCTTCTGAAAACTGATGTAGCAGATTCAATTTACACTGATATGGCTTTCTGAAAAATGGAACCAGTTTGGGGTAGAATTTTTAACTTCTAAGTGAAAATTTAAGAGGAATATCAACTCATCCTTGGTTTGTCTTCTTTCCAGAGTGTTCTGCTTGCTCTGATCAAGGAGATCTGGAGAGTGTAGCAAAGCATTACTGTCCTTAGTTGGCAATCTTAAACTCCCTGGTAGTACTGGCATGAGTGCAATCTGAGCCTGTACTCAGTTGCTGTAGTTGTTACCTGGTGTCTTAGCTCAGGCCACCTGTTGTAGCAGTTACACCTGAATTTGGTCTACATTAGGATGTCACTGGGCTACAAAGGCATCTTCGGTGTTGCTGGTACTGACACAACTGGAATGGTCTCTGGCTTTAGCAGATGGTAACTGACAGCCAGACGTGTGTAGTCCATTAAACTGCAGGACATTTTGCTTAGGGGATGAAAGTCAAAGCTGTGTCTTAACCTGGAGATCAGACCCTGAGGAATCACCCGCTGGAGAGATGTAGGAAGCAGAACTTAAACCCAGATATTTCCTTTTCTGTTTTCTTTTTTCTGTCCTTGCTGTTCAAGAATTAAAAACAGTCTTCCTCGATTTCCGTCATTTTCCTTTTATTTGTGCATCTTGCAGATATTTCACTGATGGAAGAAGCAGTTCTAGAGCTTAATACCTACCTCTCACATGAAAATGGACGGCTACAGGAACTGGCTGATGTTCTTCAGGAGAAGCACCGAATCATGTCTCAGGAGGTATAAAAAAGAGAGAGAAAAACTTTATTTGGGATCCTGCCTAGAATAGTTTGTAGTTACCATAGTTTGGAAAGCAGATTATTGCCTTGGAGTAGGAGAAGAGCGAAAGCGTCATGGTTTGAAGGTTGCCTTCTGAACAAAGGTTATGGAAAGGGGTATTGTTGTAGAGAACTGTACATAAATTTTCTGTGTAATTTGGGTTTATTTGCTTGTTAGATCACTGAATGAAAGAGTATGACCAAACCAGGGAGTTCAATGGATTTAATTTTAAAATAAAACAGCAGAGGAAATGGTAAAGTGGTCCTAAGTTTATGGTTAGAGGTTAAACATCTGAGACACTTAAGGTGGCATCCCTCTCATTTCAAATTCTTTTGTTTCTCTGGATCATGTACAAAAGTGTAATGACAGGAATCTCAAGATGATCCCAGTCACTGAGGGATTAATGTTGTTGGCAGTGTGTGTCAAGAGGTTTCAGTTCCTTTAATTAGTGTGTCAACACTGGCCTTCCTCAGGGTTAGACCACCAAGCATTTCAGTGTTCTGTAGAGTAGATGAACACATGGATTGGAAAAGTGGGGTTTTTTTGGTGTGTTGTTTTTTTTTTAAGCCTTTGAATACACGGAGGTGGCTGCCTCTGTACTCTGCCAGATACTGGCAGCTTCTTGCTTTTTCTCCCATTTGAGCTTTGTCTTATCTTCATTACTACGGGGGAATTCAGCCAGTGTAAAATTTACTGAGTAGTCTGTCACCACAGCAAGAGAGGGGTGGAAAGCGTATGAATCCAGGGCATGGTGAATAAGAGAAAAAATAATACTAAGCAGCCTCAGAAAATGTTGATGGTGTTCAATATGGTGTTGGCTGAAACATTATTTTGATTGCAGTTCTCCAAGTTGCAAGAGAGAGTGGAGACAGCAGAATCTCGGGTGTCTGTTCTGGAGACCATGATTGATGATCTTCAGTGGGATATTGACAAGATACGGAAAAGGGAGCAGAGGCTCAACCGGCACTTAGCGGATGTTCTGGAACGAGTAAGCACCAACCTCTTTGCCAGGAGAAGCCAGAGAAATGGGTGTAGTTTTAAGATGTGTGAAATCTTCTTACTCTACATTGCTGTGAGAAGTGAAAATCTGTACGGTATCCTCTTCAGTCTTGAGTTTGCCACCAATATGAGCAGTCTCACATTTAATGGTGTATTGATGCAATCTGTTACCTTTTTTGCAGGTGAATTCCAAAGGCTACAAGGTTTATGGAGCTGGGAGCAGCCTCTATGGGGGCACCATCACCATTAATGCCCGCAAGGTAATGTCAGTGGCTTAGGTGTGGGCAGGGGGAAGAATAAAGTCAAGGAGAGCTTGTGTATAGGGCCATATATTGGAATAGAATTTAGATACCTCTGTTGCCACAAATCTGGGTGACTCTGGGCAAGCCATTTTGCCTGTGTACAAGTTTCCTACTTATGACAACAGACCCAATGGAAGTAGACTCTGTCTCACTTGGTAATGTTATCTGTTAAGTGTGTAGTTGCTGTTACTGTATAAAGTTACTTAATTAGTACCTTCAGGAGATGGGTTAACAGGAGATACCTTAACAGTACCTACTCTCAGTAGATACATTAACATCTCCCTGGAAATATTCAGAGTTGAGTTGGATGGGGTTTAGTGGGAGGTATCTCTGCCCGTGGCAGGCAGGTTGGAACTACTTGATCTTTAAGGTCCCTTGGATTTACTAAAAGTTTATTGCCAACAGTTTGAGGAGATGAATGCAGAACTGGAAGAGAATAAAGAGCTTGCTGGGAATCGCCTCCATGAGTTGGAGGAACTACGCCAGGATCTTGAGGAAGTAACAACACAGAATGAAAAACTCAAGGTGAGACACTTGTACCTATTTGAGGGTGTTTGTGTGGTTGGTTGCCCTATGTCTTACTGTAATGTGTCTCCAGAAAACCTCATACTGTTCTGTCCTGTACTTGCCCTTTAGCTGGGTTATATTTTGTACAAGGTACAATGTAGCAAGTTTGTTTGACTTAAGTTCAGTGTACTGCTGGCACCGTGTGGTTATCAATGGAAATTGCAATGCTTTCTTGCCTCCTGTTTTCCGTTCTGATGTATTCAGTACATTGTAACGATGTCTAAATAATTTCACCTCTTTACTGGGAGCTTGTGTAGGCGAGCTAAGCACTGGAAAGAGTCGATGAACTTAATTTTTCCCATGTGGTAGAATGGATAGAGAGGAAACAGTATAAGCTTCTTCTGTCTTAAAGGTGGCAACACAAAAAGCTGTGTCTCTGTAATAGATAACTATATGTTACAGAGAATAATCTAAATTTTATCTTAGTGATCAATAGATCTGTTATTCTATTATAAGAAATGTCTGAGCTGATAACTTGTTTCAGAGATGAGAGTCCATAAACTGTCTCAAAGCACCTCTAAATTCTGTTTATCCACATGATAAGTGAGTTTGTTTTGAGAGAAACACCTTTCAGCTTTGTTTTTCTCTTAATTAGTGTTATGCTGTATATGTGTGTATATGAGTCTGTTTCACTGCTGGCAGTCACACTCATTTGTTGACTTCCTTTTGTAAGGAAAATTCAGAATCCAAATTCCTGCTTTCTCTCATTTCCCTTCCTTTCAGTCATTACATCTTACTGGTAGATAGCTAATGTAATGCCTGCTTGCACATGTATTGTCTCTAGTTTTCTGTCATACTTTTCTGTGTTCATTTTTTTTATTTAGGTGATTATAGTTTTACAGGAAATCCATTAAAAAAATGTTTCAGGTTTTTCAGGCTCTTTCATAGAATCTATTGCAGAACCAGAGAAACAAAAACTGTGCAAGAAAAACAGTCTAGTGCATACAGAGAAAGCACAGACTTTTTAAATTGGTAGCAAAGCATTATCACTTGCATCTACTTCACAGCAACGCTATAAAAGTTCTACTTTTGTCTTTGCATGTGGCAGCTTTATTCACTGTTCTCTTACCTTTGAAAGTCGATACCATCAACGAGGAGATAATTTTTTTTTCTATGACATTTTCCTTATCCTGACTAGGTTGAGTTGCGGCGAGCAGTGGAAGAGGCTGTGAAGGAAACCCCAGAATATCGCTGTATGCAGTCCCAGTTTTCTGTTTTGTACAATGAGAGCCTCCAGCTGAAGGCACATCTTGACGAGGCCCGCACTCTGCTTCACGGCACCCGCACCACACACCAGCGCCAGGTGGAACTCATTGAGGTAACACCTCTGCTCTGTCAGACTAGGGAACATTGTCATCCCATTCACCATCATGGCTGAGTCTGGGTGGCTCTGGGAATGCTCAGGAAATGTCTTGGTTCTGGTGCCCCATGTTGATGAGGTGAGATACTCCAGGCACTAAGTTCTGTCCCCTTCTTATTCCGCAGAGGGATGAGGTCAGCCTTCACAAGAAGCTGCGCACGGAGGTGATTCAGCTGGAGGACACTCTGGCACAAGTCCGCAAAGAATATGAGATGTTGAGGATAGAGTTTGAACAGACACTGGCTGCCAATGAACAAGCAGGTATGGAGTTTTTCTGCCATACTAGAAAACAAATGCCCATTAGAGACTGCATTGCAGTAAAACACCTGGCTTGATTCTTTGTCTGCTACTGTTAAATATTTGTTCTTTCAGGTCTCTGTCTCAAAAACAAAGCTCTTCACATGTTTATGGGAGACGAGTTTAATATTTCTGACTCCTGTTTAGATGTTGCAAAATACATACATGTTTAAGGCCTTGTTGGATGAGGCTTTGTGCAGCCTGATCTAGTGGGAGGTGTCCCTGCTCATAGCAGGGAGGTTGGAACCTGGTGATCTTTAAGGTCCCTTCCAACCTTAACCATTCAATGATTCTGTTTCTATGATAATTTGTTTTATGATGAAATATTTTGTGTTATATAGGATACTAGTAACTTTCCTATATAAGAAACCAGTAATTTCCAAATTTCATCAGAGGAAATAAAGAAGTTATTTCTAAAATAGCATTTAAGTCATTGAGATTTTTTGTAGCATGACACATTTTGCTTAGGAACATAGTAACACAGTAATGTTAAGGGGAAATCAGGACTGGGAATTTGCAAGGATGTTATGACTGCAGCATAACTTTTTTCTGTAAATGTGTTGTATGGCTCCATTGTGTGGCAGAATGATAATCTTACTTTGGTTCTTTATCGTTGGCACTTAGCTTGTCCTCATTCTCCATGGAAGTCCTCATGCAGGGCTGGAAAAAGCGTGGTTTGTTACAGTTGTGTTTCTGTCTTTGTAGGCCCAATTAATCGGGAGATGCGTCATCTCATCAGCAGCCTCCAGAATCACAACCACCAGCTGAAGGGAGAGGTGCTAAGATACAAACGCAAACTGAGAGAGGCCCAGTCTGACTTGAGCAAGGTATTGAAGCAGGAAACACCTGAAAAGAGCAGACAGTGCTTAAGAGAACAGGAAATGCCTGCAATATCAGCCTGTGTTTTGACATGGGGGATCCATTGCAATTTATGATGGAGCTTTACACCCTTCTGCTTCCACTTACTTAGGGAGTAGTTTTCCTTTGTAGCTCTGTACTGCTCCATGAGAAGTTGTAGCAAGTAAAGGAGGGGGCATGCAAGCATGGATCTGCTAAGGCTAGGGAAGGGAGATAAAGTGGATTTCTGGATGAGATCTTAATAGTTTGCTTTCTTCTGTGTCTTTTCATTCACTACTCCACAACAGATCCGCTCTCGCAGTGGTAGTACTCTCTTACAGGCCCAATCCAGCACTGAAGACACAAAGGAGGAACCTCCAGAGATCAAACAGGAACCTGATGATGCTTCTGCCCAAGCATCGGTCCCCAAGGCTGCTGCTGAAGATGTTAATGAAATGAAGGCCAGGCGAGATGAAGAGGAACGGGAGCGAGAGAGGCGGGAGAGGGAGAGGGAACGAGAAAAGGAAAAAGAGAGAGAGAGAGAGCGAGAGAAAGAGAAGGAAAAGGAACGAGAGCGGGAAAAGCAGAAGCAGAAGGAATCTGAGAAGGAGAGAGAGTCCAAAGAGAAAGAGAAAGGGAAACATGAAGATGGGAGAAAGAAGGAGGCTGAAGCAATCAAGCAGCTGAAGGCTGAGCTCAAGTAAGAGTTGTTGTCCCTTCCTTTCCTGCTTGAGTAGTGCCCAAACTGGGGTGTTTGTGTTAGATGACTTGTATCTTGCTCTTATGAGATTAGCCTCACTGAAGTCAGAGTTTTCTGGCACCCTCCAAATCTGATTGTGATTTGAACAAATTAGTAACATTTATTCTATGACAGTCTAAAGCATGAAGTACCAAACGCGATACTTCAGGGTGTGGGTCAAGTAATCTTTTTCAAGTAATCTGTCATAACAATTGTGTAAAGCTTTACAGCAGCAGTTTATTAATAAAAGGCTAGTTGTCTTCCCTGTCTTTGATAATTACCAAAGCAGAGACGGGAAGCTTGTTGCTTACTGTTAGGGTACGTGTTTCTTCCCTATCCCTCTTTTCCTGTTTTTTCAGCCAGTGTGCCTGAGCCCCTTGCTTTGCAGATTCCACCCTGTATTCCGTAGCTGTTTTGTGTTATCAAGATAAGATGAGCCAAGGATGACTCCATATGCATAACGTGGGAGACTGAGAGAATATTGCTCTGACTCCCATGCTGCAAATGTAACAGCAGAGTTTTCTTGCTGTGTTCTCACAGTTGTCTATCTCCCTGTCTCCAGGAAGGCCCAGGAAAGCCAGAAGGAGATGAAGCTTTTGCTAGATATGTACCGCTCTGCTCCCAAAGAGCAGAGGGACAAAGTGCAGCTGATGGCAGCTGAGAAGAAGGCAAAAGCTGAGGTAAGTTTAATTTGTCTTCCCTTTTTCTCTGTAGCATGTTGCTTAGAACATTTTTTCCAATACTTTGCACCTGAACTCTGTTGTTTTTGTCTTCAAAACTGTAGATTGTTCCTCTTTTCTTCTTTGTCACTTATAAGAGACATCTGGAGATGAACAGGGGGATTTTGAGATATCATCCTCTGGGTGGGGATGATCCCTTTGCCCTGGCTGAGGGACATGGCTCTTGCTTTATCAGTTGCAGATTCTACCAGTAGAGAAACTTAACACGTCCTACAGACATACACTGACATGGCCAGTCAGACTGCCACAAAGAGGGTGCTTCCTTCAGCAGAACCTACTTACAGGACTCATAAAACAAACTGACAGATGAGCCCCTTCCTCCTCTTCAGCTGGTAGAGATAGAATGTCACTAGTGCAGACACACACAACAGTCTCTAGGTTCACACGCAGTTGCAGATCCCTCAAGTACCAGCATGGCCCCTCTGTCTGCTCCCACTGGGATCCTGGGCCCTCCCCACCATACAGGTCTTACCTGTAGCTAGCCCTTACTCCATTTGACACACATACACGTGAGATAGAGAGTTGCATTACACAGAGATAGGAAAATATTTGATAAGAAGATAAGGTAGGACAGGCTTTGCTGATAGTGTGCAGGGCTGAGCCAGACAAGTGTGTTCTCACTGCTCTCATTTTACATGTGACTGGCTCCTTTTATGCCCTTCTCTGTCTAATCCAAGTTTGTTTGTCCTTCCTCTCCCTTCCCCTGCACATCCTTCCTGGGTTGGTACAGCTGTATCGATTGCCACAGCCTTCCCAATATAGGATCCACTCCTGGTTTACAGTCTTGTCAGTTGCAAAGTCCAGGCTGATCTTCCTGGAAGTGCTGTCTGTAGCTTCTTGGTAGCCTATTAGCTGCTGTGACTGGGGAGATTTGTTTCCTGTCTCTGTGTCCATGTTTGTTCTGTCAGCTCTGTGTCTCTGTATATCTTGTTTCTGGCATTCTCACATGCTGTTATCAATGAGTGTGACTCACCAGGTTTGGTTCTCATCACTGCCTCCCATATAATTTGTCTGTCAGGTTTGAGTCTCTGCATGTTTTCTCTATGGCTTCCTGCTTTTCTTATTGTCCCTTTTTGCATTTAAAATACTCCTTGACTAGATGCTCTTAAAGGAGCAGATGCTCTCCATCCACACACCCTTACATATACAACTGCAAGTGACTATGTTCCTACTGTGATAAAAGATGCTATGAGATTTTTTTTTAATGCTTTTGAAATCAAGATCTTGGGCTTACAGCTCATCTTAAAGGTCTGTCTGTCAGTAATACCGTGTTATGTCAAGATGGGATGGGTTTTCTTTTCTCATGCTTGGAAAGCAGTTTCTCCAATGTTTCTCAGAATTATGGAGAAAACAGGGTCTTAAAAATGTTCAGGCCACATTCTCATGTTTAATGTCACTTCTGCTTTGTCCTTGCTGTAGCTGGAAGAACTAAGGCAGAGGGTGAAAGAACTAGAAGACAAGGAGAAAAAGGAGAGTAAAAAGATGGCTGATGAGGATGCCCTCCGCAAGATCCGAGCAGTGGAGGAACAAATTGAGTATTTACAGAAGAAACTAGCCATGGCTAAGCAGGTGAGAAGTTTCCCATGAGTTCTGACTTGGCTAGAAGACCTGGGGAAGATACTGCCTTCTGTTTACAGTCAGGAAGATTACCTGAGAGAAGGAGGTTCTGTCTCTGTATGTGACAGAGAAGTGAATTCTGTCCTTCTTTATCAACACAGAAAAAAACTTGGCCAGCCAAAAAAATCCAATACTTAAAAAAAACCCTGAAATACCAGCATGTCACAAAGCTGATGGCATGGGTGGTGGAGAATATTTAGTTGTTGGTGGAGAGCTCAGAGGAGAAATGGCTGGACCAGCCTTTTGGGGAAGAGGTTGCCATTTCTTTTATAAGTATTATCTGCACAGTTCATATAATTAATACATGTGCATGGGATGGTGGTGTACCTGCTTCCACAAGAAAGGGCTTGATCTAATAAGGGAGCAGAACCACCTCAGTAGGAGTGAGACAAGCCAGTGACTTGACATGTACTTCTTTAGAATTCAGATTCTTATAGTACAGAACCATTCTATCTTGTCACTTAAGTGGCCTAAATGAGTTAAGGGGGTTGGTATTCTGCTGGTTGGAAGCTGTTGGGTTGTCCACGTGTAGAATTCTTTGTCTAGTGCATGTGAGAGTTGTCCATCTACCTGCCTGAAGTTAGTAGTTGGTTTCTGCCCTGTAGTGACTGCCACAGCTGATTTAGTGGTCATGATCACACGAGCCACTGAGCTGTGAGAGTCAGTGAGTGCTCATGGAGATAACCTTCTCTTTCCTACACCTTGTAATTCAGGGCATCTCCTCTGTAGTGGAGACTTCTAGAGAACACTTCTTTCTTGTGACAGGGAAGATACTGTTACCAGATACTGAGCCATCTTCATCTGTCCTAGATTTGGTGACTCTGACTAAAAAAAGTTCAGGATTTTTGTAGGGAGTACAGGAGACAGTTTTACCAGAGTCTGTGATTCCTTTGCAGGAGGAGGAGGCTCTGCTGTCAGAAATGGATGTCACAGGCCAAGCCTTTGAAGACATGCAGGAGCAGAACATCCGCCTGATGCAGCAGCTGCGGGAGAAGGATGATGCCAACTTCAAGCTGATGTCAGAACGCATCAAGTCTAACCAGATCCACAAGCTGCTGAAAGAGGAGAAGGAGGAGCTCGCAGACCAAGTTTTGACACTGAAGACACAGGTAATGTGAGAGGAGAGAGGACAACAGAACTGCTGGGGGAAGGTGAAGGTGTTATGGGTTAATGCTGAAGGCAGCTAAGCTCTCTGCAGCTGTGTGCTTGCTCCCCCACAGTGGGATGGAGGAGAGAGTCAGAAGGGCGAAGTGAGAAAACTGATGGGTTGAGATGAAGACAGTCCAATAGTTAAATGAAAGCTGTGTGCACAAGCAAAGCAAAGTGAGGAATCCACTATATGCTATGGCAGACAGGTGTTCAGCCATCTCCTGGAAAGCAGGGCTCCATCACATGTCATTGTTACTTGGGAAGAAAAATGCCCTAACCCTGAACATCCCCACCTTCTTTCCATCAGCTTTCTGAGCACAGTGTCATGTGGTGTGGAATATCCCTTTGGTCAGCTGGGGTCAGCTGTCCCAGCTGTGTCCCAACAAAGCTTTTTCTGTACCCTCAGCCTACTTGATGGTGGGCAGCACGAGACAGAAGGTCTCAATGCTGTATAGGTCCTGTTCCTCAATAGCTGAAACAGTATCCTAAATCCAAAATGCAGCACCAGATGAGCTGCTGTGAAGAGAATTAACTATTATCCTTGCCAAAATCATTGCAGGAGGGAATGTTCCTCTACTCAACCTCAGTATGCTGTGTCGGACTTCAGAGGTCTTGGTATGAAACAGAGACTGATGTAGGAGCATAAAATGTCCCACAGGTCCATTGATACAGAGAGCAGGAGGGAGAAGGGAAGTCAGAAGTAATTTCCTTGTCATTTCTACATATATATTCTGCCATCCCTGGAACCAGGATGGAACTACTGACTGCCTGGCAGCAATTCTCTAAGCCACCTTCCAAAAAATAAGACATCTTTGTTGCAAGTTTTTGACTGCTAGGTTTTAAAGTGTTCTGTTGAGATACAGCTCTGGGGCTGCTCATGTGCTTGTTCAGGGAGCAGACAGCAAGCTGAAGAGATTCTCCTTGTTGATGGGGAGGCAGGGATACTGTTAGCATGCAGCTTTAATGACAGCTCTGAAGACGTGTAGAATATGCAATTCAGTTCTTCCATATCCCCTCTCTCCCTTTCCAAGGTGGATGCCCAGCTGCAGGTTGTACGTAAGCTGGAGGAGAAGGAACACTTGCTGCAGAGCAGCATTGGAACAGGCGAGAAAGAACTAGGTCTCCGAACACAGGCCCTGGAAATGAACAAACGCAAGGTGAGTGATGGCTTGGTGTCCTCTTGGATTGTAATATGGAGGTGTCTTGTGGGAGCATAGGAGGCTCCTAGTTCTCACTGATACTATGGAACCTGGTACCCCCTGGATTTGGTCTAGTCTACCAGAAGGCTGAGGAGTCCTGAAGAGAGTTCTGATTAAAGTATTGTAGACTCATGTTTTCCTGTGGAAGTCTGGTGAGGGAGCTGAAGGTGCCTGTAAAAGGAAACCTGTCATGAAAGAGGCAGCAGATAGATGAAGTTAATTGAGGTCAAATCTTTTTTTAGGAAAGATGGCATAAGTAAAAGGAAAAATATAGCTGGGAAATCGTACAACCTTTAACAAATACCTAAGATCTATAAAGTAGATCTGTTGTGAGTAAAGTAAGACTAAGTCTCATGGTTAATGTTGCTTTGTTGTTAAATCTAGTAGAAATGCAGGAATGACATTAAAACAAACAAAGAAAAGCAGAAATACCACTGTAAAGAGGAAGATGGGGAGGAATTCAGCATGATTACTTGAGCTTAGTATCACAATCTGTGGTATTGAGGGAACTTGGATAATAAATTCATTGGTATAGGGACAAGCAGAAAATGATAGGAAAACTGGTGGAGAGAGAGAAGGATTATAAAACAAACATTTTGCAATTCCTTTAGTAGCAAAAATGTAGAAGGTACAAGGCTGGAAATAGATTAACAAGAAGAGAATTGTGTGGTCATTAGTGTTTTTCTAATTGACATACGTTGCAGTGTGATGGGTTGGCTCTAGGAATGTTGAAGCTAAATGGTTAGAACTTCTTAATAATAAGGTATTTTGTTGTTTAGGAAGCAATTCAGTAATTCCATTTACTCCATGTAGAAATACCACAAGGGAATTGAAAAAATAGATCTCCAGCAGCCCCAGGAGTATTCTCTGAGCAGTCTTGGATTGTCAGGCAGGGGAACTAGGAATCACTGGAGCCCCTTTTCTGTTTGTTACTCTTATCCTGATTTTTTTGGTTTTTTTTCAGGCCATGGATGCTGCCCAGCTCGCAGATGATCTGAAAGCCCAGCTAGAGCTGGCTCAAAAGAAGTTACATGACTTCCAGGATGAGATTGTGGAAAACAGAGTAACTAGAGAGAAAGAAATGTTCAACTTCAAAAGAGCTGAGGTAGGTACCTCATGCGCAGTCCTTCAGTATCTGTCTGCTTCGGTGTCTGACTCCTTGTATATTGAGCTTGGAGTGAGTTTCAACTTTGATTTCAGCTTCATCAGGTCTTGGCTCTTCAGTTTTTGTCCACTGGTAACTGACAATCCATGTGACACCAGATGATAATGTAATCTATAGTAAGCCTGTTGGACTATTGGGGATGAAAGGTGTGGTGACTCTTAGCCAGGTGTACTGTTGGGAAAGTGATGGTTTTCATTCATCCCTGAAGAAGCTGTGAGGGAGAATACACTGCTCATCTTTTTTTGTCTCTTGTTTTTATGCAGGAAGATATTTCTAGGTTGCGCAGGAAGCTGGAAACCACTAAGAAGCCTGACATGGTTCCCAACTGTGATGAGATACTGATGGAAGAAATAAAGGATTACAAGGTGAGTAGCTGTCTCTATCAAAGCTCCCTCTTAAACTTCACTTCAGTCAGAAGGCTGTGTAGTCATTTTTCAGTATTTAACACCTCTTGCCTGTACTCAAGCATTGATGAAAGCACCTCCTCCTTCAGAGGAATGGAAAGACCTTCCTCTTAGTTATCTTGCAACAAACCTGTGGCAGTGCAGGGGGCCCTCACTGGAACATTTTGTCCTTGTCCTGCAGGCCCGTCTGACCTGCCCGTGCTGCAACATGCGCAAGAAGGACGCTGTGCTCACCAAGTGCTTCCACGTCTTCTGCTTTGAGTGCGTGAAAACGCGCTACGACACCCGGCAGCGCAAGTGCCCCAAGTGCAATGCTGCCTTTGGTGCCAACGACTTCCACAGGATCTACATTGGCTGATTCTTTCCAGTGGAGTGATGGAAAGTAGCTGCTTAAGCTGAACACCCAGCCTCCCTCACCTCCTGTCATTGTCACTCCTGGGTCAGTGCTTGTGTCTGCTGATCTGCGGTCTCTTCTGAGAAGTGTGGTTAGGGAATGGAAAGAGACAAATTCTGGGTCTTGATTCCTCTTGTGTCCCTTTTCTTTTATTCTTACCCTCAGTTTTTGTGGATTCTTTGTGCCTGAGAGGATATTTCCCATCTATCGCTTTCACACTGTCAAGTTTGGAACATCTAACTGAAGTCCTGCCTGGAGGGAAGCTGTCTGTGGTGCAGCAGAGATAAATGGGGCCTTTATTCAAGGAGTCTGCTTTGGATGTTAATGATTAAATTTCATTAAGGTATGGTAATGTTTCTGAGAGTGATTAGTTTCCTAGTTGAAGGTCCAAATAATGAATTAACACCTACATCTATAGACTTCAGTGGAGTGACTCCTTAGACATGTATCTTAAAGTCAAGCACTCATCTTAGTATCCAGAGGAGTAAGATAAGACATTGGAGAATCTTTGAAGTAGCATTCCACTGATGAACCCTGGTTGATGTGGAGGACATCTTCCCCTAGGCTGTGGCATTGCTGTTATTGTCCTTAGTAAAGTATTTGTAGGAATTACTTTGTCACAAAGGTTAATCTTGTAATGCACAAAAATCTAATAAACACTGTTGTCCTGGTTATTTTTTTTGTTTTTCTTGCCTCTGGTAGTATCTCAGTGCTCCTGTCCTTTGTCTAGTTATTGGAAACATTTTTCACAAGCTTCTAAAGCAGAGTGATTAATTTCTTCCATACTCTGTTTTGTTTTTTTTTTTTAAAATGGTTAAGTAAACCAACCTTCATTCTTTTGGCTGTATCTTCACTCTACATTGTACCTGATGCAACAGAAGGGTCAAGATGCTGGATTAGTATGCATTTTGTCATGGCTGCTGGGAATTTTGTGGAAGGACATAGCACAGGTTGTAGTCACTATGCGTCCTGTAGTGCAAGGCTGTATTTAAAGTCTGCTTCTAAAATAATTTTTTTTTGTCATTTATTTACAACATTCCTTCATAGGTCATAGTGCTTTTCCTGTAAAAATTATTTTGGAAGGTGCAACTGTCAGGTATTTGTCTCATCTCTTTC